AATTATATATATATATATATATATATAAATTAAACGTACATGCCACCTGAGAGGAGGTGGAAGGTATCCTAATTCCTGTTCACTGTGTATCACCACTGTGTATCACCACCTCTCCTCTTAATCCCATCTCAGGGGGCGCCTGGGTGGCTCAGTTGGTCAAGCTTCTGACTCTTGATTTCAGCTCAGGTCATGATCTCACAGTTTCATGAGTTCGAGCCCCACACCAGGCTCTGCACTGACAGCGTGGAGCCTGCTTGAGATTTTCCCTCTCTGTCTGACACTCCCTTGCTCATACTGTTTCTCAAAAATAAATAATAAATAAAAATCTTTAAAAAAGAAATCCCATCTCAGGATTAATTTCCCAAGGATCTTGCTCTACGCATTTACGCATTTCCCTTTCATCTTTCAAGGTCTTCCTCGACCCCCAAATCTTTTCCCTATCTCCCAACAAGAAGCTAAATCTTCTGTATATAGAAGAAAGAAAAACAAAAAACAGACAAACCAACAAAACCATTCCCCTGACTGGCTTCCCCTCACGCTAAAGTACTATCACTCCCCTTTCCTCCCTTACTAAACTTCTCAATAGTCTGCTTTACCAGTTATTTACACTGATGTGGATACTATCTAATTGTAGCTGATTGACAAGGTAAGCTTAGGATCCTTCTACGTGGCCATTTTCCCCAGAGGTCCTGAAGAGTCTGCTTTCTGGTCTCTGTCCTACCCATGTGCTCACAAATGCTATGGTCAAGATCACATACAAGCTTGCAATCACTAAATCTAATTCTTCTTGCTGTCCTTTAAATCTAAGCACACCACAAGACTTTATCCTTGAATATATTTTCCTAACTTTTCTTTCCCCTAACAACCTTATGTCAGAGCTACACTTCTATCTCTCTTTGAAACTCACTGACTTCTAACCTAAACTGCACATAACTACAATTTAAATAGGCACCATCAGGATATCCCTAACCAGCATTTCAAACACAATAGGGCTGGAGTCTGTTCTTCCCAACAAAAATTCTTCTTCCGTGATCCCTGTTTGATATCATTATAATCACCACAATCTTCCAACAAGGAGTGTTTGGAGTCCTCTTTAACCTGTTTCCACATTCCATCAGTTAAAAAACAAACACACAAAACCCTATCAATTCCTCATTATCTTTTGACATACCTACCATAGTCTCACTCTTTTCTTGGACTTCCCAAGAAAGTCCATTTTTTTGCAATCAATACTTTCTCATTTAAACACTGGTGACAGGTTAGAGGTTAATCTCATTTCCATCTGACAAGAATTATACTCTCCCTTCAAAGCCCAATCCAAATGTTATGATATATGAAGTGATTTATAACATCCTCCCCATACCTCTCCGTTGACTATTATAAATCACTCTTCTCTTCTGAAAGTTCATAAAACTTTGCTGGTATGCTTCCTAAGGCACTGCTCTTTATTAGTTATTTATGTATGTCTTTCTCCCCAACTAGATTATTAACTTTTTAATCTGTAATTCCACAGTCCTTGACATGCTTTCCATGTAAATATTTACAGTTGTATAAATTAACATTTGCTAAATAAATCAAAGTTATAACAATAAAGCCATCACAGGTTAACAATCTCTTCTCCACAGTAATTAGTTAACATTTATTGAGTGATTATAACCCAGATACTCTTTTGACCACATTACATGTACCATCTCATTTACTCTTCAAAACAACCCTGAAGTAGGTACTATCAATACCTCCATCTTAATGTCAAGAAGTAACTTGCCAAGGAAATACACAGAAGAACAGATTTCAAACCTAGGCAACTCAATTCCAAAGCCCCTGCTTGTTGCCATGAGGCCATACTGCCTCCAGAATACTGCTAACTGTCAGTTCCACTGCTATAGTCCTTTACTCTTTCAATGAGATGTAATTGCCTCTCTCTCCAACTCAACAACATGCAACTCAAAAGCTCAGTACATATTCAATACTATTTTTACTAACAGTTACTCAAAGCTAAGGTTTATACTGGACACGTAACTAGCTGTAGGTATAAACATTCTGCACGTAGAACTAAAGTTATATTCTGTTAATTATCGTCTTGTCTAAAGACAGACCCTTTACATAGGAACAGAAGAAACAGAATATTCAATTCTGCGTCTTAACATCTGCTTTTTGTTGGTGCCTTTCCCCTTCCTTTATCTTACTTCTCTTCCTCTCTAACTAAGGCTATGAAAAGAAATAAGGGAACACATAAGAACTGCTGAATTTTAAATCTGATAAGGTTTGCTAAAATATACATTACTGTTTCAGTAGAAAGCCAAATCATTCATATTCTCTCTCTCTCACACACATACACACACCTTGATCAAAATTCCTATGTTTCCCATTATCCAATTTAAAAGTTATAAAGCCAAATTAGGTGTGATTCTTATTTCAATCTCTGAGGAAGAAAAACATTAGCTGGTTCACAATTACACCAACTGACATTTGTACAGAGACCCGAAGGACCTGAAAGAACAAACCACACACTGATGAATTCCGGGGAAAGGAAATAGTAAGCACAAAGATACTGAGCTAGGAGCATGTTGGGTGTGTCTGTGGAACAGCAAGGGGGCTGACTGGCTACAGCACTGTGTGCCAGAGAGAATGGTGATGGGGGCAAAAAGGTCACAGGATCAGCTAAGATGTGGCTTTAGTCAGGACTCCAGCCGTACTCCAAGTGAGATGAAGAGCTACTGGAGGGTTCTGAGTAGTGGAGTGATATAATCCTATTCATATTTTTAAAAGATCACTCCTTTCAAGATAGAGTGCAGTTATAGCAGGAGGGAAAGGTAAGTAACAGGAGGCTACTACGATGCAGTACAATGATAAGGGTAACAGAAGAGCTGGTGAGAAGACTCTGGATTTTTTAGATATATATAATTTAAATTAACAATATTCAAAATATATTACCAAAAGCAAACAGCAAATTCCTCAAATAATGACATCACCTGTATATGACAGAGGTCTGGTATTAGTAATCTGCCGTGCTTTCATCGCTTGTTGTTGTTTTTCCAGAGCTGCTAACATGTCCCCCAAATCTAGCTGCACAGGTGTTTTATTCTTTTTTCCAGCTGCCTTTGATAAAGCTTCCTGCAAGGTAATATGAAAACATTTATTTTTTGTGACAGTATGAAAGTGTGGCAATTTATGATGATTATATTTGTCTTTCTGTCCCCAAGTCTACCAATTATATTTGTTCACAAAAATGAATAAATACCTGTAGTTTTTTTTGCTCCATACTTATTTCTGAATATTCTTGAGCCGTGGCAAGGGCTGCTGCTAAAGCTTTCTTCTTCTGGCTTTTTGCACGTTTAGGAACGGAAGTTGTAATGGGAATTGGAGTCTGCACTATATTGATTGGTGAGTTTTCAGGTAAATCATCCAACTAAGATAACCAGACAAAAACACTGTTACTGATTCCACAAAAGACTACCTTAAGGAAAGACAATCCAGAATATGGGGTGTCCTCCAGTATAACTGGACAGGACTCTTTGAAAATTCAATGTCATAAAGAACAGAGTAAGATGATGTGATCATTCCAGACTGGAAAATAATAGAGACAAAACAGCTTACTGCAATTGGTGATGCTTGTCTGGATCCTGGCCTGAAAACAAAATAACTCCCAAGTAAGTCAAGTTTTCCAACAAGTACGCTGTATGATCATTTAATTAATGGCGTTGTCTTGTCTGTAATAGAACTATGGATTTTATAGGAAAGTGTCTTTGTTCTGGCAATGCTGAAAATAAGTATGAAGTACTAAATACATGGTTTCTTGTCTACCATGCTGCCCCCCATGTCTTTATACTAAACTATAATACTTCTTTTCAACATAACCGTAGTTCAAAAGATGTTCAAGTATTTTGCTTATCTTTTTAAAAAGGGCCACTTACTACTTTTGAAGAAAGTTTCTGTTGAATAGTATCGTCTTTAGCATTTCCATTCTCGTTTAGCTCTCGAAATCCATCTTCATCCTGAAACAGTTCCACATGTTAAGTAAAAGCAGTTCAAAGCAATAACCTCTTAAGAAAACATTTTACAATGTTGAAGAGTAATAAAAAATGGGCAAGTAATTTTTTAAATTCTAAAAGTAAACTATTTAAAGTCAGTCTTAAAAAGGAAATCTCATCTCTCATGTTACAATACAACTAATTTCATTATTCAACAATGGGGGCATATCTGCACACGTCCACCCTTTGGATTTCTATATCTACCATACCATTTTTATTAGTTCTACTTAAAAAACAAAAAGTTTATTAATGTGTCTTGAGAGAGAGAGAGAGAGAGAGAGAGCGCGCGCACACACGCGTGTGTGAGCAGGGGAAGGGCAGAGGCCGAGAGAGAGAATCCCGAGCAGGCTCCGCACTGTCGGACTCGATCTCACAAACTGTGAGATCATGACCTGATCCCAAATCAAGAGTAGGGCACTTAACTGACTGAGCCATCCAGGTGCCTCTAATTAATTCTACTCTTAAAATGGGTAGGCAATTGGAAAGAAATTCAAAAAGGATTTTATCACATGTCAGATAATTTGGAAAATATTTTCAACAGATGGCTTAGTATGAATTTCGTAAATATATTCCCTGTCCTGCAATACTACACACACCTGTCAATAAGGTTAAAAAGCTAAGAAAATTTTTTTAAAACCCTATTCAAAGTAATTTCTTCACCAATCTCCTCCTTTACAGTGAAAATTATACCTAATACCTTTAACTAAATATAAGGATGGAACCAATTACATGGTTAAGTGCACATAATAAATCTGTCACATGTACTGTTCTTCATAACTGAATAACATAACTCCCAAGTCCTTTAGGTCAATTACTAAGTTTATCTAACATATTATTCATCTCGAGCCTCTGGCCTCAAGCACATTTTCCAGTTTAATTTCCATCTATTGACCCATTTTATAGAAACTATGATCCAAAAAAAATGACTTATTCAAATGAGTTATGGGGGATGCTGTTCACCATGTTGACACAACCAAATTCTACCCATTCTTTAAAATCTGTTCCAACGGTTATCTCCACCCTATTACAAACTCAAAGGGATTTGTCCTTCCCTTCAATTCCGACCACACCCAAGCATTAGGTATGCAGGCATCTACGTTTCTCTGCTGTACAGCAACCTCCCTAAGCCTACTATGTTGATTCAATGTATCACTCATAGCACCTTATTTTACACATATAACAGGCCTCCAATAACAGCCATATAGACAAATAAACAATAAAAATATGGCACAGACTTTCTGCCTAGTACAGCAACTAAAATAGCTTTGTTCTTCTCCAAGATTCTCCCACCTAGCAGCACAAATTAGCTAGACTAAACCATCCAAATCTAAAAAACTTGACAAAGAGACTAAACAATAATAAGAAAAATTAGGGATAAAGTTTCATAGTAGTTTTAACCCACGTAAAAACAAGTTTTACCTCTACATGTTACCTCAAAATACTCATAACAAAATTTATAAAAATAAACATTAACGAAGTTAACATTATACTATATATATATATCCAAGACAAAAATGAATCAGTACGTCTACGTAATTTATAATCTAATATCAGAATCATGTGTTAAGATATAAAAAGTACTTATCATAATGTAAGAAAATTAATTTCTTAATGGGAACATTTGCTATGACAGTTTATAAATAGAGCCTAAAAAAATACCTCAAAATATAAAGACTCAGAATTTGAGTCGCCTCTATGAGATTGACTGGTGTTTAACTGCTTATTATCTTGTCTCTTTTGCAAATTCTGTCTTCTTTCTGAGGAAGTACTATGTCCTCGGCATCTGAATCCAACCTAAGTAAGCCCCAGAAGGAAAAAATATATGTCTTATTATTTTAAGTGAACATTTACCTGAAATATAACACACAGAAAAGTACACAAAAGTAACTCAACGAATTTTCATAAAGTGCATGATTTATTATAAAAGTTACATAATTTATTTTGACAAAATATTAAAATGTGATAATGCAAGTTAGATTCCCCCCCCCCCCATACATGAATGCTGATCAGCTTTATTTATAATAGCTGAACACTGGAAAAACCCAGATGTCCTTGATTGGGAGAACAGTTAAACTCACTGTGGTACATCCACACTACAAAGCAAAACTCAGCCACCAAAAGGAACAAACGATTGACATACTCAATTATCTGGATGAATCTCCAGAGAATCACACAAGTGAAAAATCCAATCCTAAAAGGACTATATGAGTTCACTTATAAACATTCTTGAAATGACAAATTATAGGAAGTGGGAAACAGATCAGTGGATTCTAGGGGTTAACGAGAGGCTGGTAGGGAAGGTAACAGGAGTGTGGCTACAAAAAGGAAAAACATGAGGGAACCTTGCAGTAACAGATCTGTTCTGTATCTTGACTATATCAATATCAATATCCAGGTTGTGAGAATGGACTACAGTTTTGCAAGATGTTATCATGGGGACAAAGTGCACATTACCTTTTTATTAAACTATGATAAGTCTTCTAATATCTGTGGTTTTATTAAAAAAGAAAGAAACAATTCCTAGGAAAGGTTAAAAATTAAAACCCTTATTTACAAGAAAATAGATTTAGGAGAATAAAATTTTCCTTCAATGCATAAATCATCATCCCATTAACAAATCTGTGAAATGTTCAACTGTCATAAAAGCAAGATTAAGAATCTTAAGACATTTCAATCCCCCCCCCCCCCTTATGCCAATGCAGCCAACATGAAATGCATCTCTTAACCAGGACACTTAGAAGATGTGAGAAGTATCTTCATTACCAGTTACCAAAAATTCTAACAATAAACAGAAAATGAAGCAGATCTGGACCAGAAGGTACTAATATACAGGCTTTGGATGATGAAATCAAAGTATGCACACAAAGACCTGGAACCACCTAGCAATTCCCATGCTATGCAACTGGTCTAAAAAGACTTGCTGATAAATGGATTTTTTATTTTTATTTTTTTTTAAGAAACAGAATTTTTAAAGGCGGCTGGGTGGTTCACTCGGTTAAGTGCCCAACTCTTGCTTTCAGCTCAGGTCATGATCTCACGGTTGATAAGATCGAGCCCATGTCAGACTCCAGGCTGACAGAACTGAGCCTCCATGGAATTCTCTCTCTCCCTCTCTCTCTGCCCCTTCCCACTCTCTCTCTTGCATGCATGCGTGCTCTCTGAATGAAAGAAAGGAAAAAAGAAAAGGAAAGAAAGAAAAGGAAAGAAAGAAAGAAAGAAAGAAAGAAAGAAAGAAAGAAAGAAGGAAGGAAGGAAGGAAGGAAGGAAGGAAGGAAGGAAGGAAGGAAGGAAGGAAAGAAAGAAAGAAAGAAAGAAAGAAAGAAAGAAAGAAAGAAAGAAGAAATTTTTATACTCTTTTGCGAGGTAGGCTGCATGACAGAATAAGCCAGAAGACAGTCATACTGCAAATTTAATTCTTCTACTCAACTACATCCTATAAATATCTCTTAAGAAACGATAATTTTCCAGATACCCAAAAGTTTCTCAATTTTAAATATTCACCTCATTTTAAAACAGGCTCATAAACTTGGACAGAGAAATGGACAGAGGCATACATAAGCAATGAAACAAATCTCAGTAAAATCTTAGCTAGCATATAAGCTGGTCGCTACATGAATGTTTTCTGTAAAATGACTTCAACTTTACTATTTAGAAATTTTCAGAAAATATTTCAAAAATTGGTTCACGAAAAGCAGCTCATACAAGACTAGTAAAACAAATGCAATTTATAATGTCTAGGTAAAAAAGAAACAACTTAATTCAAAAGTTATTAACATGTAAGTAAGTGCTAAGACTCAAGCCCCAAAACAGGGATGACTAAAACGCAAGAGATTAATTCTTGAGCACAACTTTTCTTTCTCTGGACAGTCACTATCACAAAAATGTAACGCAAACCTGCCCTCCAAAGGCATTAAAATTGTATCAGAAATAAGCCCTATTGTAAAGCAGTTAAGTATACATGCATTAATGTTGCTACAAACACTAAAACAATTTTTTTTTTTTAATTTTAGAGAGAGAGCGAGAACATGCAAGTGGGAGAGAGGGAGAGAGAAAGAGAATCTTAAGCAGGCTCCACACTCTGTGCAGAGCCTGACATGGGGCTCGATCCCATGATGCTGGGATCATGACCTAAGCCAAAATCAAGAGTTGGATACTCAACTGACTGAGCCACCCAGAAGGCCCTAAAGATGAACTTCTTAATGCTATTTAAAACATAAACTTGTGGGGGCGCCTGGGTGGCTCAGTCGGTTGGGCGTCC